AAGTTCCTTTAGCAACTACGGAGTCGTCTACCGATTTAAAAAGAATTGATAAATGGACGTCATAAATGTTTTGGAACTCACGGTAGTGTATCCATCACAGATTCCAGGACCAGAATCTACCCACCACAGCGCATTGTGGCCTATTGTTTAACAGAATCTGTTGTTCTACTACATTTCTCTTGCGAAAAATAATCTGATAATGATGCTTTGAAATACAAATATGGTGAATATTGATGAATAGCCACAGAGTACACCATCACTTAGTTAGTACTCAAAATTTCATACCGGATTATTTTCCAGTTCATTCATTTCAGAGAAAATTCCTCAAATAAGAGTGGCTAGGAACAAACTTTAGTCACAGGTTTCTAGTCAGTGAAACTTTTCTTAACCATCATCTATATCACCGCATGGTCATATTATGACACGGCATTGTTGTTGGGCATATGTTCGTATTTTGGATGCATTGTCAAATAATGAAAACATAGCGTGTTTGTTATATTATGCCCTCGACGTTGTATTTAATGTTTCAGAAACTTTGTTTTACTTTATTCGTGGACTCGTGTTCAACCTCTATTTTAAATAAAATTACATAATAGTTTTGGTTAGCTTGGCTGGTATTGCTAATTTGTCTTGGTATGCTTTCCATTTACGAACGTTGCCTCTTATTCAACCTGATCTTCAAACATAGAATGTTTGCTCATTCCTATGTCATTAAGTGGAAAAATGATGAGACCCATCCATCAATCTATCAACCCGGCAATATGATGAGAAATAATGCAAGCAAAAAGTCTGTATGCTAACGTCCGTATTAATTGCATTCAATAATAAAGAAACCTCATCATATCTGGCGATAAAACTCTCATTGAAAACATTTAATCTATTCTTCAACAGCTATCAAATATCATTGGGCTAAATTAATGGTGATTTTAGAGTTGGAAATACTGTTTAAACTCATAATCTACTTGCGGGAAAACACCGTCAGACTAACGCTTTCTGTAGCAATTGGTAATCAGTTACATACTTTTCAATTTCCATTTATGTGCGTTTGATTACTTAGCTCTTGTAATGATGATAATTGATGTCCCTGTTTCATTATTGACCTGGATTCAGGTCCTGTTAACCCACAAAGGTCATAGAGAATTTTAAAGCCATTAATGGGAGATCCTAGATTTGAATTCTGTTTTAAATAAACGCATGATTGATTAAAAGAAAACTTCAGCACATCTAGACTTTGCTCTTCAGTCTAGTTCATAGTTGTTTCTGCATACTCTGTATGACCTGAATATGGGGAAACCAGAAAGGAGAGAAGTGCTGTATATTTCATTTTATCTCTTTTACTTTGTGTAGTTTTTCATTTTCATGTGTGATTTGATTTACATATCTGTGTGCATTGCGCGTTTAGTAGATCATAAACTTGTCCATACACATTTGCGTGTGATAACGGATACATCTTCGGGAACTTCAGCTGTGTCCGTAAACGTATCAATTTCATTATTGGCAATACGGGCCATATTTCGGGCAAAAATCTCTACGCATACGATTTACTTGTTGTCATGGTATCAAATGACAAAGTTTGTGTTCGGGAGATGTGTCAGCGAAGTCACCAGAAACAACAGATGCCAGTGTGCATAGTATTTGCATGTTAATTTCCCCCAACATATTTTCACAAACGGTGACAAATCATTGTGGCATAAGCAAGCTATATTGACATCGATATTGTATAATAAGGATGCTCGTGTGGATAGTTCTAGTTTAATTTATGAAGAATGTTTGATATCAATAAGAAGAAATACTGACCGGTGAAATATTGAAAATATCATACACAAAAAATAGTAAGGAGATTATTGTGCAGTTTTATTGTGATTGTCACTTTATCATTTCATTTGTCTATTATTTCAAGTTAATTTTTGTCTGCTATTGATGCAAGAAATAATATTTCACAGAATTGGATTTATATATATATTATAGGGGTTTGAACAGCCAAAAATGTTTTTTGAACATTATTTGAGCACATTTCGTGTATTGATATGACCAGTTAACATGATGTGTTTGTCCTTAGTGTGTCTGTATCGCTGCAGCAAGCATGCATGTTATGATGGACCACACATCCAAAATGACAAAAGTTAAATTGAAACGGTGATCATTTACAGATAACTGTTAAATTGATCATATCCTCGGCAAAGCCAGCGTTGTTCCAATTCCTCCCAGTTATTTAAATCTATGTTCAGTACTACATCAGAATAAAGACAAAATAATAAAGTATACGACGTCTTGACAATCATTTGTTTCTTGGGTATGCCAATATTTCCATGATATCTCGAATTCATGATCATTTCCTTCACCACGTGTATGTTTTATGGTTTCAACATCAGTTATAAATGATCACATCCTTCCATATATCACTGACAAACACAGTGTCAATATTGTGATTTTTGATTTCTTATCGCGATTATTGCTACTATGTTGAAAAAGATACTATTTCTAAAATGGATATCGTATGTAAAACTCCAAAGTGTGATGAGATGGGAGAGACATACAAGGTTGACAGAGCCTGATTGGAGGTCATCAATCACCCCGACATGACACCTCGCGTGTCCCAGCTCTTAGATAGATCGTAGTATGATAGACTGACTCTATAACCTTTTCTGTTTCAAGTTGATATTCAAACACGGTCTCATCCGAGCTACGTTTTTCCATTTTCTTATGCACATGGGAAATGGCATCGACTAAGAATGGAAAGGTGGGGTCAATATTTATCTCATAAAAATTGTATGAGATAAAAACGGTTAAAGTGTGTGGTGGGTCAGAGACTCGATGTTACATTAATCATATTATACTCCCCTTCATAAGTTTGGCAACCTTATTTCCCCATAGGCTTACGTTTTAATGCCCCTCTATGTTTGTATTTTTAGTTTCATAACCTGCAATGAAAAACCGATAATGAAGGCGAAGATATAATCTGACTTTATTTTATATACCTCCAATTTTTCAATTTCTATTCTCAGATACAATAGGTCAAAAATTGATGACAAGATTGGTGAATCTTTGAAAATCGTCATTTCAATGTAAACCAAAGGGAAATGGTGTGTTCAAGGCAAACAAATGTTTCAGGATATCCATTCAAGAAAATATTTGTCAAAAATTGTCATTGTTTGCATGCTAAATTTTGGTAATCATTTCCCCTTGTGTTATTTCAATGGGAGAGGTTCCTTGCTCGTAAAGTGAGCAAATTCAATTATCACTTTACTTGTAATTTTTGAGAGAACTCGCATGGTTGGATATATTATCATATGACTTGCGGCAAACATACCCCTTCCAATTGTTTTACATGGGAATGTCGATTTTCAAAAATTCATCAAATTTGTCATCAATTTTCGACATCTTGTAATTGAGGAAAAAATAAAATTTGAAGTATAGGAAATAAAGCCAAGTTAGTAGTTTCATATCCTCCTGCATTATAAGTTTTTTCTTAACAATAAAAATTCAAACATAGAGAGCATTTAGCACGCAAGCCTATGGGGGAAAAGGTTGCCAAACTTATGGAGGGGAGGGTAAGTACCTAAATAACGTGTGATCTGATCCTGAGCTTTTTGTACAAATAACGCTAACAATAATACATATTGAAAGTTACTTTTCATACCTATTACGAGTAATAGGTTTTTAGAATCAGGCTTAATTTTCATGCATTCCTGTTTATGTCCAGACTCTGGATACTTATCGCTCAGCGCAAATCCCTAAAATTCGTATTTAAAGCTACAAGTATCTGATCTAGGAGTCAGATGTTAGCAAAATATCGGCATTAGATCCCCATGTCGGTGCTTTCATTGTCGATCGTCATCTGGAGCGTACATAAATCATTGTTGGTGGGTTTAGATCACAACGCAGAACCTTATCATCTGTCCCCAGTCACCTGTCAGAGATAACATATCATCAAATCTGAAAAATGACAATATTTTCTGGTTGAGTATAACAATGATTCAGTTTCAAATGTTTCCTTTCATCTGTGCTCGCATCGGTGGTCTGAAATATTTATCTCAATGTTATCTTTTTTCGTGTGTATACTTTGGCCCAGGTTGTAAACCATAACTAAAGGACGATTTATTTCAAAGAATGCACGCATTTGAGATTTCCCAAAAGCGTTTGATGTCATCGAGGGTTTTCCAAAATATTATTGTTTGCATATTGTTCCACGTCTTTACGTATGTTTATCTTGGCAGTTATAGCAAGATAACGTTTCACATATCGATTGGATTTTGTTCCCACAAATACGTATCACTCCGTTCTCCAGAGATTATCAGTTAAATTGGTGAAAAGAACGCCATTTGCCATTTCAATCAGAGTATAATGTTAAACATGGAAATTTTGTCTCTTTTGGGGAGTTGAATGGTCTGTACAATCGTCTTGTTAAGTTTCTCTATGTCTCCTTATTTCCCTGAATAAATAGTATGTCTGTATAATGCACTGCTTGAGACAAGACACACACATACACAAAGTGTATATTTTGATTCTCTGTGAAGATTCCAAGACCCCAACAAAGGTGGGCTGGCGATTGCTAGTCAATTATCCCAATGTATCGCGTTGCATGTCTGGTTTCACATATGTGAGAAGTACGATTGGTTCTGCATCATGAGAAATCATAGCCTTCTATAGGGCTCTATAGAAACTATGAGAAGACAGATCAGCGCATTGTTTCAGAAACATGGCCACATGCCTAGCATATGCGATGATATAACCCCTGTATATGTCAACTTACTTTATCATAAAATGTAATTTGAACACACCAACAGTGTGCAATCCATCCACTCTTCTCCAGTTTGAATAAAGTAAAATACCAAGCAAAAATAGGTATTAATCATCAACATGTTACTTCGTTATTGTTTCGTGTTGTCTGTTTGCTAGATTAAGATTGCATAATGCTTAAATCAATGGGATTTGTTCTCCTTTTTGATATTTAATAAAGATTATTCACACAATCTACAATTCCAATGTTATGTCTTCAGGAGGTATGGCACAAAGTGCGGAGGTTGTGGAGATGGTATATCACCGAACGACCTGGTTAGAAGAGCGAGAGACAAAGTATTTCACTTGAGATGTTTCACGTGTATCGTCTGTAGAAAACAGCTCTCTACTGGTGAAGAACTCTATGTCCTAGAAGAAAATAAATTCATTTGTAAAGAAGATTATTTAAAAAGCAGTTACGCGGGTGAGTACATGATCAGCTTTTGATTAATCATTGACGTTTGGAAGCAAATGAACACATTGTTTTTCAGTATTGCTTTTCAGTTTTGTTATTTCCAAAAGTGCCAAAAGGGGAAACATAAACCAATTACAAAAAACAGCATACATTAACATACAGAGCGTAACCTGTCAATAGGAACATAAATCCCTTACCTCTCACCTCCATGCAATGCGCACTCTCTCACCTCCATGCAATGCACATCCTCTCACCTCCATGCAATTCACACCCTCTCATCTCCATGCAATGCACATCCTCTCACATCCATGCAATGCACGTCCTCTCTCACCTCTATGCAATTCACACCCTCTCACCTCCATGCAATGCACATCCTCCCACCTCCATGCAATGAACACCCTCTCACCTCCATGCAATGCACATCCTCTCACCTCCATGCAATACACACCCTCTCACCTCCATGCAATACACACCCTCTCACCTCCATGCAATGCATACTCACCTCCACGCAATACACGCCCTCTCACCTCCATGCAATGCGCACTCTCTCACCTCCATGCAATGCACACTCTCTCACCTCCATGCAATTCACACCCTCTCTCACCTCCATGCAATGCACATCCTCTCACCGCCATGCAATGCATACTCACCTCCACGCAATACACGCCCTCTCATCTCCATGCAATGCGCACTCTCTCACCTCCATGCAATACACACCCTCCCACCTCCATGTAATGAACACCCTCTCACCTCCATGCAATACACACCCTCTCACCTCCATGCAATGCACATCCTCTCACCTCCATGCAATACACCCCCTATCACCTCCATGCAATGCACACTCTCTCACCGCCATGCAATGCATACTCACCTCCACGCAATACACGCCCTCTCACCTCCATGCAATGCACACTCTCTCACCCCCATGCAATACACACCCTATCTCACCTCCATGTAATACACACTCTTTCATTTCTATGCAATTTATGCACATCCTCTCTCTTATCCATGCAATGAACATCCTCTCTCACCTCCAAGCAATGCATACCCTCTCTCACCTTAATGCAATACTCACCCTCTCTCACTTCTATTGAATGCACATCCTCTCACCTCCATACAATGCACACCCTCTTTCGCTTTCAGAAATATGAATACTATTTGCAAATATGTTTTGTAGACGTATAGTTGTGTCATGTGAACAGAGCCCAATTTTTTAAATTGATGGTTGTTATTCTTATTTTAGATATATGGCTGATACAACTAAATTAAATAATGACAACAAATAGATTAAATACTGGCAATAAAATCTATTGATAAAAAACTGATACAACTTGGTCTACCTTTCTGAAATATATAATCGTAATTAAGACATACTCTTATTTATTTTCTGTTAATGTGGGACAGTTGGGATGAACATTTATCATGGAATCCCGACCACATGTCACCGAGGGGTCGAGAATGTACCATTACATTCATAAATACCAGAAATTTGATCATCTTTATTTCTGAAATATATACCAAAGATCACTTTTGGGTAGAACATGTTATCAGTATGAGCTAGACAACATTTTTGTAAACAATAAAAATTGTGAAGTTCAGAGATGAGTTACTACCCAATTCCCATCTGGCTATAGAAGCTGCTATATAGGTGTAAAGCAATATGTTCCCTAGGTAATTTTACTCCAGTTTTTCTATGCGGAAAAATATATCAAAATTGACAGGACAACAAAAAATGTAGATTTTGCCGGAGTGTCAGTTTACTGTTTTAACAAAACCTCGTTGGATTTTCAATAACTCAGGGAGGACCTTTTCAACTTGTGATGTCGTTATTTGACTTGTTCTACAATAGATCGACGCTTATTTCAACAGGCTGTGTGCGTTGTTCACTCTACGATGAGCATAAACAAACTCCGAACTAGCTTCAAATTAATTTAAAATGACATCAGAACTATATCATGATGTTCAACAAAAAATGAAAAATTGCAGTACTGTTCTGAATTTTTACGAGTCTATAGGTGGTCCACGTTGGGTTGTCTGATTTCACAAAATTTAATTAATAGCAGCCAGAATACACGCGAATTCGGCTTGTATGACACACATATAGTATTAAACATGTGTTGTTTGTAAACAGACTAAACAGCATTTACAATTATCGAGTACATACTTTGATTAGTTGTGCAAATTAGTTGTGTGTCGGAATTACATGGGATTAGTGGTGCCAGAGGTACGAGTAGCGAACTACTAATCCAATGATGTTACACAATACAACGTTCTAGCTTTCGTAGTCCACATCAGTAGCCATGTCATCATTAACTACTTAGCATGTTGCAAACATTATATTGGATACAGTTCTTCCTAGGTATCTATATCTTCTCTCTCAACAATACTCCTTATTCATACGATGCATGCTCAATCAGGCCATGGTTTTTCATATATAAGGGGACAATTACCCCGGGGACAATTAGTTTTGACAGGGATTCTGTTCCACGTATGGTTATTCTCCCCTCCTCTGTATTGTTCCTTCTTAGCATGATTGAGTATAACTAACAATTTAGAATTATCATGTCGTTGTATAAATCGACAGATAAAAACTTAGTGTCGTTTGTGTTTCTTTAATATTGCCATGTGTGCGCAGCATTCTAATCATGAACACTGCAACAAATCATTAATGTAGTCGTGGAATTTCTATCATCATCTCATGGATATGTTTCAATTTTGATCTCAGCAGTAACCAGATTCCTTTGGGGTAAATTGTATTAAGGCGTTGCGTTTTTAATTATAAGATGCGGAACATCGCCAAAAATAGTACCCACCAAGGGGGATATACTACTCCAAGACAGCTTGTGAAATATGTTTTGGAATCTAATATAGCGCAAACAAGTTAGCTAAACTTCAGTTGATTGGCTAATTATTTTTTGTTTGTTTTGAATAAACCTATATATCATTTGAACTATTTTGGATTACTCTACTAGCATCCAAAAGTTTTGTATACATTTTAAACTTTTTCTTGAAACTAACTCGACAAATAACGTTAATAAGTCAGCATTTTTTATCTTTCCTTGCAAGAAAATCCTTCAGATGAACTCTTGGTGCAAAAGCATTGTAAACTTCCAAAGGTGGATAGCCGCTTACTGTCTTTCCAGTGCTGTAAAAATAATAAGAAATAATAAGAAATACTTAACACGGATAATAAACACATTTATTAAGAATTTGATAAGTTTTTTCGTCGATAATAGAGCGATTTCACAACTCACTTATAGCATGATAATAAACATGCTGTAAGTGAGTTGCGAAATATATAATCATGAACTTTTCACCGTATAAGGTACACGTAGTCAGCTACGCTATCGCAAAGGTATATCATTTGTACATATATACTGTCAGATTTGTTTGAACTCAGCCACTTTGAAAGGAAAATTGATATGTCGAGTGCCATCGCCCTGCAATGCATTACACTTTGCAAATAATCTTATTATTTTATAAAGCTTTTAAACAATTTCCACATGGAATTGTCATATCTCGTTCAGTTATAGATATGCAATGTATTGATTCAAGTTCCCTTTGTTGAATATGCATTGCACATCCATAGTATTAGGAGGCGTTGCATCTGTTAACAGATGGAAAATGATGAGGCCAATATGAAAGCAAAACGGACAATGATTTAGAAAATCCAAATAGCCACACTTGTATCATAAATCTGGCAGTTCATAATTTCTGCAATTTCATATACCTTTCTTTTATAATTCCTATTGGTTCTATGTTCTCACTTTGACCTAAACTGGCCAGAAATGTCTTATGTTTTCCATTCATCGATAACTAAAGTCAAATGGACAACTTGGGAAGCTCTTACATCATGATGTGACTAATAAAGGAAAAATATTAGAAACACTTTTTCACATACTTTACAAAGAAAAGAAACAATTTTCCGTGAAGATGCGATATATTTCATTCTTGAAAATGTTCCCAATTTTAGTTTCTAAATCTCCGCGTAGAAATCTCCATAAATCTGTCAATAATAGTAGTCGATTACGTCAAGTAGCCGTCTTACGTCTTTCATGTAGCCGACTTGTAAACGCCGTCTTACTATAATCCGTTTAAAAGATGAGTAGCCGTTTATATCAATATATGCATATGTTCTGATACATAAATTAAGTCGCAAATGACATAAGTCCGAATAGCAGGAAAAATTTATTTTCGTCACAATACTGAAATCTCGTTGGTGCGATGTTTGAACAGGACCAGATCAAATTGACATACAATTCTGTAAATATATTTCCAAAATATTTGGAAAATGCTTAGTATTGAAGCAAAAGTTTGCGCTCTTCAATGGGAATCCGATAAAGAGTTTAAATCCGAAAGAACTTTGTATGGATTTTGTTTGTCGATACTTCTTGATCAGCTGTAGTATACTTTGCGGTATATATGAAAGAAACGTGAGCAATATAGCGCTCCTGTGCTGGACAACACGCTGCTGTTTGTAAATACATGTCTTCCACATAATCCAGGTGGCATCCACCTCTCCACCATTTCACTATTTACTAAAGAGAGACTGCATAAGAAATCGGAAAGATCTGCGACAGATCAAAATTGTAACTACCAGCCGAAAAATGTCACTAGATTATGATTGTCAATTTTTATGTTGTCCCATTCTAGTAGTATTGAGCAGATTCCATTACTTATTTTATTTGGACTTTTGCATATACGTTTTTTATCCTATGCCCAGTAGAGTTTTAGGGAGATAAGTTGGTAGGATATATCCAATATCCTGATTTTGAGGTTTCCATATCCAGAACCTCCATATCTCCCGCCATATCTCCCGCTCCAGGGCATATCTTCCTACTTTGAAAAAAAGTTGAAAATAAAACGGAAAAATGCGAAAAAACTATTTTTCAAAAAATTGCAAAAAGAAATTGACAAAAAAAATAAAAATTGCAAAAAATTAGAAAACTCTACTGGGTATAGGATAAAGCAGTTATGTGCGATTGGATTTAATATGGGGTTTATCCCTC